CCCCATTCTGACCCCTCTGTGGTTTTGGGGTGTCCCCAACCCCAAATTTCCCCCATTAAAACCTCTCTTTGTGGTTTTGGGGTCCCCAAATTTCCCCCATCCCAACCCCTCTGTGATTTTGGGGTCTCCCAACCCCAAATTTCCCCCATTGAAACCTCTCTCTGTGGTTTTGGGGTCCCCAAACCTGCCCCATCCCAACCCCTCTGTGATTTTGGGGTGTCCCACCCCCCCCTCCCCATTTTTGGGGTCCCCCAACCCCAAATTTCCCCCATTAAAACCTCTCTTTGTGGTTTTGGGGTCCCCAAACCTGCCCCATCCCAACCCCTCTCTCTGATTCTGGGGGGGATCCCAGAACCCCAAATTTGCCCAGCCCAACCCCTCTTAGTGATTTTGGGGTGTCCCCAACCCCAAATTTCCCCCATCCCAACCCCTCTCTCTGATTCTGGGGGGGATCCCAGAACCCCAAATTTGCCCAGCCCAACCCCTCTTAGTGATTTTGGGGTGTCCCACCCCCCCCTCCCCATTTTTGGGGTCCCCCACTCTCTTTTCTCCCCTCAGGCGAGAAGCAGATGCTCTTCACCCTCTCAGGGCTCATTTTTGGGGTTCCTCCACCCCCTTCACCCTCTCAGATCTCATTTTTGGGGTTCCCCACCCCTGTTTTCTCCCCTCTGTGTGATTTAGGGGTGCCCTACCCCCTCTCAGATCTCATTTTTGGGGTTCCTTCACCCTCTCAGGGCTCATTTTTGGGGCTCCCCCACCCCCTTCACCCTCTCATCTCGTTTTTGGGGTTCCTCCACTCTCTCAGATCTCGTTTTTGGGGTCCCCCACCCCTTTTCTCTCCCCTCAGGCGAGAAGCAGATGCGCTTCACCCTCTCCGATCTCATTTTTGGGGTTCCCCACCCCTGTTTGCTCCCCTCTGTGTGATTGAAGGGTGCCCTTCCCCCTCTCAGGGCTCATTTTTGGGGCTCCCCCACCCCCTTCACCCTCCCCTCTCGTTTTTGGGGTCCCCCACCCCTGTTTTCTCCCCTCTGTGTGATTGAAGGGTGCCCTTCACCCTCTCAGGGCTCATTTTTGGGGTCCCCCACCCCTTCTCTCTCCCCTCAGGCGAGAAGCAGATGTGCTTCACCCTCTCAGATCTCATTTTTGGGGTTCCTTCACCCTCTCAGATCTCATTTTTGGGGTTCCTTCACCCTCTCAGATCTCATTTTTGGGGTCCCCCCCACCCCTGTTTTCTCCCCTCAGGCGAGAAGCAGATGCGCTTCGCCCTCTCCGACCTCCCTTTCGACGTGAGCCCCGCGTTCGACAAGGACGTGGAGGTGGTTCCATCCCGCTCTCACGGCCTGGAGCCCCCCTACTCCAGCCCCCTGTCCCTGCTGGGCGCCGGCGACGCGCTGCGGCCCCTCCGCCTGGCCACCAACTGCATCACCGAGGTGACGCCGGTCATCAGCTCCGTCTACACCCAGATCCAGGCTCTGCCCGCCCGCCTGGAGCTGCCCCGCGGCCGCGACGACCCCGCCGAGCCCATCCCCGTCATCTTCCGCGGCGGCCGCGGCGACGCCGCCTCGCCCTCCAACGGCTGCCAGGATTCCACGGACACCGAGAGCGTGCAGGAGGAGCGGCCGGGCGGGCGGCACAGCCCGGCTTTCACCAAGGAGGAGCCCAAGGAGGAGCCCGAGGGGGCGGCTCGGTGTTTCCCCAAGGAGTCTCTGCGGGTGCTGAACGAGGAGGGGGAGCAGCTGCGGGCGTTCTGCTGCGAGCACTGCAGGGTGCTGTTCCTGGACCACGTCATGTTCACCATCCACATGGGCTGCCACGGCTTCAGGGACCCTTTCGAGTGCAACATCTGCGGCTACCGCAGCCAGGACCGCTACGAGTTCTCCTCGCACATCGTGCGTGGTGAGCACAAGATCTGAGCTGGGGGGGGGGATGCGTCTTCCTCCTCCTCCTCCTCCTCCTCCTCCTCCT